GCCCTGGAGCGGCGGCCGCGGGCCGAGGCGGAGAAGACGCTGTGGAAGGTGAGGCGGCGGCGCCGGCCGCCGCTGCGGCACTTGGAGTCGGGCGCGGCTGCGTGTAGGGATGTGGAGCGCGGCGACTCGGAGTCCTTCTCGGAACCCATGGCCCGCAGAGGCCGCGGGGCGCAGGGCGCCCAGCGCCGCCACCGCTCCTGCCTCCTCAGCCCCCTCAGCCTGCGCCCCAGGCGCCGCTACCTCAGCCGCCCTCCCGGAGATAGAAGCCAAGTGGCACCAACGAAGTGATTATAAAGCCTCCGCCCCGCGTGCCGCTGCCCACTGCGCAGGCGCTTCGCTGAGACACCTCACAACCCGCGCCGCTGAGGCCGAAGGGGGCGCTGGGCGGGGCCGAGAGGGGTGGGGCTGGGAGAGCTCAGGCGGTGCTCCGCCTCCTCTCCGTCAGGTGGTTGCGAGGCGGCCATTTTGTAAAGACCCTGTGGGAACCTGGATTAACTCTTATTTTTGGTTTCCACCCACAATTCTATCGTCCCCACTCCCATAATCCCCAAGGTGGAGTTTTCGGTTCCCCTTCCCTCAGAGATAGCCTGATTGCTACTTCCAGCAAATGATTCCTCAGTTACTTCATCTGTAAAAAAACAAGGCTTGATCAGATTGATTTCCAACACAATGTGTACCTTCCAACATTTCTTTTGTTGTTTATTAAGCAAACTGTTAATAAATAATATATTCATTCATTGAGTATCTACAAAGTGTGAGGCATTAGTAGATAAGACAGGCAGGGTCCCTATTCATAAAATTTATAAATCTTAATAAAATCTGAACACCTTAATCTAGCATTTGGTGCTCTCAGTGAGGCAAACTCTATTCCTAGGCCCATCACCCATTATATTCTCCTGATATCTTGGCTACTTGACATTCCTGGAAGGAGGCCCAGCATTTTCTTACCTAGAGGTGCCTTTTATCTTCTAGTTCCCCATTTCCCTTCTAGTTCCCCAGATTCTGGACTATTATGCTTCCTAATGGGAGGTAGGAAAATAGCTCCAACAGTAATAGGAAGGTATCAGTTAGGATTAGACTCATTTGCAAAGTAAAAAAAAAAAAAGGCTTATGATAGAAATTTATTTCTCTCTCCACGAAAAATAAGTCCAGAGGTAGGCAATTCAGGACTGCTCAACCATACTCAGCATTTGGTTTCCAGTCATAAGGTGCCCTTGTTACTGTCCACATTCCAAAAGTAAGGAAAGACAATGGGAAGAAAGGTGCACCCTCTACCATTTAATATGACTTCCTTGTAAATCCTGCACAACATTTTTGCTTACATCTAATATGCCAAAACTTAGTCACATGGCCATACTTAGTTGCAAAGGAGATTGGAACTGTAGTCTTTTAACTGGGCACAATGTGGCTTCTGCAGCTGTCTTTTTCATGGGTGGTATTTAAAACCATGAGAAAAGTCCCTAGGAATAATCCCTGGGAACCTTCAAAATTTTGAGGTGCGGTGGTGGGAGAGGAGCCAGCAGAGGAAACTGAGGCACAGGGGCCAGTGATACAAGAGAAAAACTAACCAGGCATGATGTCACAGACACCAAGATAAAATGTTTCCAGGAGGGGGTGGTCAATTACGACAAGTGCTGCTGAGAAATCAAAAAAGAGAAGAATAGAGAAGTGACCACTAGATTTAGCAATACCAAAGAGTCCTATAAGGAGAGGAAGGGTTCCTCCTCAAATAGGAAGGTAGTTTGTTGTTGGATGACTAAAATAATTAATGTCCTTATATTGATTAGCATAGGCTAGGCTCTGCTGAGGTGATAACCAGCTCAAACATCTCATAACACAACAATGGTGTTTCTACTAATGCAAAGTTAGCTAAAGGTCCAGGCACTCTCCCAGGTACCTCTCCTCTACTCCATCAGGTAACTCAGAGATCCAGGCTATTTCCATCTTGGGCTCTGTCATCTTAATATACAAGGATTGCCTCATTGGGGAAAAAAGAGCTGGAGGATTGTATACTAGAATTAAATACTTCAGCCAGGAAATGTCACATATTACTTCTGCTCACAGACCATTAGCCAGAAATTGTCATATGGGCCCAATCTAACTGCAAGGGGGGACTGGGAAATGTAGGGGAAAACCATGGACTATTTAGTAAACAATATTGTCTCCATCACCGTTTCCTATACTGTAGTCATCTTTGACTGTTACCAGTGCCCAACGTCTTGATTAGAGCCCCCTTTAGAGGAAGTATGTAGCTGTGGTGGGCATGGGGGCCAGAGAGGGCTGCCTTGTTCCTTGAGTCAGATTATGCTGAAGGAGATGGAGACTCCTGATTCCAGGGAGTGCCAGGTGCCTTTCAGATGCTCATCCCTATGCTGCTGACAGAAATACCTGTCAGAATCGCAGCTTGCTGAAAAGCTCAACACACCAAATGTTTGCTTGTCCTGGCACTGCCTCTCAAAACAAACTCTGCTTTAGCTCTGAGCTGCCACCATTAGTGCTTTGGTAGAAAACTGAACTCTCATAAATACCATTGGACTTTGCAGTGGCCCATTCTTTTGGGTTTTCTTTTCTGAATCCATCACTGTTGAATAAAAAAACTAAAGCAATTCCTCCTACTTTTTCTTCTGTGTCTCTCCTTGATCTAAATTGAGTAATGACTCAGGGAGATAGCATGAAGGAGAGAAGGATTCTCACTCATGTATTCACTCATTCAGTAAATGCTTATTATACTTGTTTTGTGCCAGGCCCTTTGCTAGAAACTAGGGTCATAGAGATAAAAAGCATAGTCTGAAGACAAGAAAGCAGATCATTAAGATATTAGATGAGAAGGGCCATGTACAAAAAGCTGCAAGAGACCAAAGGAAGCCATGGCAGGTTCTGCTCAGAGCGGTCATGGGTGGTTTCACACACATTCATTTGAGCTGGGTCAGGAAGGATGAGTAGGAGTTGACAAGTTTGTAAGAAGGGAAAGGATATTCCAAAGTGAAGCCTGGAGGAAAGGAATAGAGGATACAAACGCAAGATAGTTTGAGGGAGTGTGGGTAGCAGGGTATGCTAGGAGTAGAGAATGTGAAATGATAGAGAAGTGAGAATGGTTCCAAGTAGCCTGGGCCAAAAGAGTGATTCTGAGCGTATGTGACTTTTTGATACAAGTACTAGGGCAGCTGGGCCCAAGGACCAACTGGAACTAGGGACCCAGATGCCATCTAGCTCTCACATGTCATCATCCATCTTTGCTTCTCTACATGTTGGCTTCATTTTCTCAGACCACTTTCCTGTCCAAGCTGGAACTGGCTTAGCCAACAGCAATCCCAGCTCATGCCTCCTAGCTGCTTTACTAGACAGCTGAGGAATTGACCCCCATTTGTTCCAAATCCCCAAAATCCTACAGAAGGACTCTGATTGGCCAGGCTTGCTCACATGCTCACTCACACCCTTGGTCATGGGGGATGTTGTTGTTGTTGTTGTTATGTGCTGTGGAGTCCGCTCAACTCATAGCGACTCCTCCTTGGGTTTCCGAGAGGCAGTATCACTATGGAAGTAGATTGCCCAACCTTCCTTCTGAGGAGTGGCTGGTGGGTTTGAACCGCCAGCCTTCTGGTTAGCAGTCAAATGCCTTTGGTACTAGGCTACCAGAGCTCCTGGTCATGGGGGTTGGGATGCTATAATTAATATTCTCTACCTGGACCACAAAGGAGCTCTGGTGGTGTAGTGCCTAAGGCATTTGACTGCTAACCAGAAGGCTAGTGGTTCAAACCCACCAGCCACTCCTCAGAAGGAAGGTTGGGCAATCTACTTCCGTAGTGATACTGCCTCAGAAACCCAAGGGGGGGTCGCTATGAGTCGGTTCTAACTCCATAGCAGTGAGGTTTTTTTTTTTGGTTTTTGAACCACATGGTTATACCAGGGGGAGGAGTAATTTTCCAAAAAGAAGGAGCTGTTCTTTCACAAGAAGGAAGACATTAAACAGCCCAGGTGAAACATGAAATGGTCAACACAGATAAGTTGGACCCAGGCCACCAGGAGACTTGATTGCCAGACTGAGGAACTCAGCCTTTATTCTGCTAGGTAGTGGGGCACTGCGGGAAGGTTTTTCAAACAGAGACGTGTGTAAAGATGGCCTGCAAAGCTCCCACTTTCCTTCCTTACAGCTCTCCTTTGAGCCCTCTCATAGACCAGTTTCTCAGCTAGTCTCTTTTGCAAAACCATTGGCTAACATAAACCTATACTGAAAACCTTTCTACAGTTCCTACTGTCAGCCTCATCTCCTACCAGGCATCCTGGGCTCAAGCCACCTGGACTGCTTGATATTATTTAAACATGCCTAGGATTGTCACGCCTTGCTTCTTTGCACGTGCTGGTCCCTCTGCCCATTATGCCTTTCCTACACTTTCTACTTGGTGTAATCCTACACCTTCCTCTGGGAACATTTTATTATCACTACCTCTCTGTAGTCAGACCCACCTGCCTCCTTCCTTTGTGTCTGCAAGGCACAATGTAGATAACTCTAGTGTTAACCTACAACTAGGATAACCATATATTGTCCAATCAGGACACTTTTAGGAATGGAAGGAAATACTGTAATTAATTCACATAGTTCAAAAGGTACCAGTCGAGACTGTCCCAGGCAAACCAGAAGGTATGTCACTCACCTACTGCCAGCATTTCTGTAACAGCTGGTTGTGGTTGTTAGGTGCTATCGAGTTGCCTCTGACTCAGCAACTTTATGTATAACGGAACGAAACATTGCCCAGGCCTGTGCCATCTTCACGATCATTGCTGTTTGAGCCCCTTGTTACAGCCACTATGTCAATCCATCTCATTGAGTGTCTCCCTCTTTTTCACAGACCCTGTACTTGACCAAGCATGATCTCTTTCTCCAGTGATTAGACCTGATGACCTGTCCAAAGTAAGAGAGACAAAGTCTTAGGACTCCTCACCTCTAAGGAGTATTGTGCTGTACTTCCCCTAAGACAGATTTGTTTGTTCTTCTGGCAGTTAATGGTATATTCACTATTCTTCTCCAACACAATTAAAGACATCAGTTCTTCAGTCTTCCTTTTTCTTTGCCCAGCTTTCACATGCATATGAAGCAATTGAAAATACTATGGCTTGGGTCAGGCATGCCTTAGTCCTCAAGGTGACACCT